CGTGTGGACACGCAAAAAACGCATCAAATTCGCATACGTGTGGACACGTAAAGTTTTGAAACCAGAACAAAATGTTTACAGCTACGTGTGGACACGCAAAAAACGCATCAAATTCGCATACGTGTGGACGCGTAAAGTTTTGAATCCAGAACAAAATGTTTACAGCTACGTGTGGACACGCAAAAAACGCATCAAATTCGCATACGTGTGGACGCGTAAAGTTTAGAATCCAGAACAAAATGTTTGCGGATACAAATGAATTCAGATACGTGTAGACGCGGCTAATAAATTCTGACTGCGCCGTCGTGAATTTCTATCTAATGCTCGGACTCTTAATCCAATAGAACACATGTAATCATGCTCTAACCCTTACTTAATTTCAGAAGTGTTAAAGTATTTCAATTTGTATGTGTTTACTATAACCACATAATAGGAAATGAACAGAAGGATAATTTAGTGTCGCATGCTAGAAATTCGCGGCCGCCATTACTCTGGCAAGTACTGGCTAAGGAATTTGTATATAATTGTATTGTGCGAACATTAATTTACACATTGTGAAGGTTTAGTTTAGAAATCGGTGTTCTAATTATCAGAACTTCAAAATACAATGTAAATACTGCCAATTTGTCTTTAAAAGCGCGATTTTCTTACACAAATATTCCATTGTACTGTATAATTTATAGTAGTTAGCAACCGCAGTACTTGCCAGAGTAATGGCGGATCTGACGTAAGCGCATAAAAAATCTGGGACACATCGTACCCCAGAGTTGGCCTTCTGTTCATTTCCTATTCTGTGCTTTAACGTAAGTCTGGTCCATTTAACTTTGTAGAGATGAAATGTAAGTATTGTGAATTTACTGGCAAAGTAAGAAATTTAATTTACGGAAGAAAACAACAGGTCTGGTTATAATCTTTGTAATGTGAATGGTTTTACTATTCGCCTCTAAAGGTTAAATTTAAATTGGTAAATATGTTCAGAAAGGGCGGTCCGTGATATATGTACTGTAAGGGTTAAATATGGAGGTTACACCATAAATGGATAATATAAAGTTATTAAAAGAACATTGTATAGCGTCATTTGTATGTGTGAACATTTACATTGGAATGTGAAAACTGACCCATACCTGACTAAAGAGAAAAAGGGGCAAATGCAAAAGAGGAGAGTGAAAAAAATGATTCAGGTTTTATAGAACTTAAATGAGTTCATATGTGTTAAATTTTGATTCCATTAATATGAGGTTATTATGAAGAATCACGGTGGTCAATTTTTACAATTTCAATACAAACAAAAGAAATCATCTTTAAACTAGGATTTTGTGACCAAATCTTTCAATCTTTAGTTGCCAATATAACAAGACCACGTCTTGACCACGTTCAACGCGTTTAAATAAAAAATCGTTAGAATCATACGTTTCTTTTGCGTTTTAATGTCGTTATGCAAAAGTAACGATGCATGTTGTAGGGTAGGTTAGGATTCATAAGACCTTAACGAATTTAAAAACTAGACTTAAATTTTGACCAAATCTTCATTGAATCTTGCAGTCATATCTTGATAAGTTAAGCTTCTGAGAATGGTTTAAGGGCGTTCTCACTGGCGTCACCAACGTCTTCAAGCCCAAAATAATAATACCAGCACAGAATAATGACTATACAGAAGGGTCACTCAGGTGTTCAACTTGTCCTCACGTCGGCCATTATTCCAGCCAGTTGATTAAGGTCTGTTACTGGTTTCCAACAATTAAAATTACATGGCGTCAATACTTAATAATGAATTCGAGAATACTTTGACTTTAGGAATGACTTCAGATCATTTTGAAGGTTGGGAAAAAGTCAAAAACCCAAATCAACTGGCTGTAATAATGGCGGCCACCATGCGCGGCACGACATGAGCGAAAACAAAAACATTAAAGGTTCCGACACGAGTGACCTTCTGTATATTTTTATTCTGTGATATTAGCGTTGCTTAATAGGCTAAATAATTTAATTAATAAATGATTGGCGTAAAATCGCTGAAAAATGGTCAATTGTTACTAGCATTTCACGTATATTAATGTGGGGAGAGCAGAGTTCATTTGCTTGGCAACAATACGTTTTGTTTTTAAAAAGTGGATATGATAGATACCCGGTAATTTGTTCAAGAACAAACAATGAGTTTAAGCCTCTAAAGGCCGTTGTTGCTCACAGGCTACAATCACCAAACGAGATGTGTATGAACTTTTGAAAAGGCACGGTTCCCAGAGGATTAAACAATCATGTGGAACAAATACGTATAATGACATGCTCAACACTATTTATAAAGATACTATTCACTTCAAGCCACATATAAGCCACGAGGCGTCATGGAAGGCAGATGTTGTTCATATCAGATGGAACAAGACTTTACACATAGACGAGAAGTATAAAGATTTTTGATTTTGCCATGCAAAATAAAGTTGTTGCCTTCAACTCTCCTCGATGGCAAGTTACCGTAGCACGTCTCATTTGGTTGCAGATGTATTTAAACGTGTTTTTAAAAAATCAAGACCGCCAACATCTGAATGCTACTTAACAAGGACATATCGCAAATATTTAAACATTTGAAAGCCACGATGTACAGTTATATAATATCAGTATCACGTCCTAAATGTTGATTGCAGCAGCAAAAAGAAATTTGAAAGAGGAAAACCCTTATGAAATGTGTGACACACGTAGCTACTTGTTTCAATATTATTTATGAAAATAGATCATACGGCTGGAAACTACAAATGTAAGTGACTAAACTGACGATAAAGGATAATTTGTTATTGGATTTATCTCCATTTTTCTTGTAAAAATCTCAATGGTTTTTATTAATGCTACTGATTTTTGGTTTGTTTCTTCAATGTCTTTCCTCAACTCCTGAGTTAAAACTTCTGAAACTTTATTACATTTAGCACTAGTCCTTTGGAATTTGACTAATTTCAATGTTTTTACGTACTCTTCATGAGGTTCTTATTTATGTATTTTTATTTCTATAACCATTGTTTTTAGTCAGTGATGTATACTTAGTTATATAACTGAGATGTTCTACATAGACACACTATAGAAGAACATACAGTAGAGCCACTCTATTAAAATTTTTCGTGCCACATATATCTTATTACGCATGTGATTACCATAGTGGCAGCCAGTCAATTGCTTTTTTTGACCAATAGGAATGATGAATTGATTAACGACAGCCAGTAATCTAATTAAATATACATCAGCCAGTTGCACATGAAGTGGACCTACTGTATATTTCCTATACTGTGACATAGATGTCATTATTGTTTGATAATACTGTTTGTTGAAGTAGATCCTGAATTATTTTACTTTAATTGCATCCTTTACTGTTATATGTAAAGTTTTTTTTATTGATCATAAGTATTTACAATTGCGTGCAGTCGATAATTAAAATGTATTGATAATTTACAATGGGTTATTCAATAACAAAGGTCTTTTTATAATATGAACTGATTTTTGCAAAAATATACATGTATGGAATTTTTGATTAGCGAAGTGAAAAAATCGACTTAAAGTTTCAAAAATTGTGTCTTAATCATTCACATTCAAATCCTATTTTAGAAAGGTGATCCTTTATTCCTGAATTTAAACTTGTTAAACTTTATATTATTTATTTATGTATTTTTATTTCTATAACCATTGTTTTTAGTCAGTGATGTACACCTAGCTATAGAACTTGAATGTTCCACAGACATGTCATTAATGTTTCATAGTAATGAAGGAGATCCTGACTCTCATTTTATCTTCGTTCGTTATTTAAATGTGTTTATGTAACAAAACTTACATGGATAAAAAATTAATGTTACCATATGACATAAACTATGATCACCATTTTTTAATGATATGTATGTGGTCGCGTTGTTTATATTAAATCTCTCGTATCTAAAACAGGCATAATTTATTCACACGGTCGTCTTACTTCTAAAACGAAGGCAATTTTTGAAAAATTAAGCGATATTTTACAACTGCACTAAGCACATGACAAATTAGCTAAAGCAGCGTCACGATAAAGTATGACTAAACATGCATGAGAAATCATATCTAAATTGACATACCAACTTTCTAACTATTGACAATAAGCTGCATGGTAAACGAAAGCAAAACCTGTTCAAAGGTAGGCGAGAGGTGAAATAGCATACTTGTCTATGGAAAAAATGGGAATCTGTAAATATTTATGTAGGGGGGATAGCATGTCCAATCATGCATCGCCTCCATTTTGTTAGACTAATGGCTGTATGTCTAACAAATGTTGTTAATTGTATTGAGCAAGCCATTCATTTTAAAAGTAAGAACATTTGTAAAATAAGCAATGTTGAGCACAGGAAGAATGTATTTACACAGAAAAAGAACGCAACCGAATCTATTTTTGGGAAATGTTGATTTATGCAACACAGTAAGCTTTTAAATTTATACTTTTGATTATGTTTGATTAACAGTTTTCAGGTTTACTTTCATTGCAACCTTTAATGTTGTATCCACAGTGTCTTTATTGATCATAAGTAATTATAATTGCGTGCAACTGATGTTTTCCATGTATTCATAATTTACAACGGTTTATTTAATAACAAAGGTTTTTTATAATAAGAACTGACTTACGCAAGATTATAATTGTATGGAATTTTTGATTAATGAAGGAAAAAAATCCTTTCACAGTTGCAAAAACCGTGCATTAATCATTGGCATTCAAATCCTGTCTTAGATAGATGATTCTCTATTCCTGAGTTAAAAATTATGAAACTTTATAAGACTTAGCAGTAGGCCTTTGGAATTTGACTAATGTCAATTTCATTATGTACTCTGCATGAGTTTCTTATTTATGTATTTTTATTTCTATAACAATTGTTTTTAGTCAGTGATGTATACTTAGTTATATAACTAGAATGTTCTACATACACGTCATTAATGTTTTATAACACTGTTTGTTGAAAGAGATCCTGACTCACTCTTCATCTTCGTTCACTATTTAAATGTGTTTATGTAACAAAACTTACATGGATAAAAGATTGATATAACAAAAAGGTATGAATTATGAACACCATTTTTAAACTGATATGTATGTGGTTGCGTTGTTTATATTAAATCACTCAACTTTGCAAGGTAAATGACATGTAAAGAACTAAAGCAAACATAATTTTCTCTACACGGTCGTCATGTATGTAGTCTCATTCCTAAAACAAAGGTAATTTGTCGAAAATAAAATGAGATACTGAAACTATATTATTAACTTTACATAACAACTTTGCTACTGAAGCTTGTCGATAATGCATTACTAAACATTCAAGAGAAATCACATTTAATTTGATACACCAGCTTTCTAACTATTGACAATAAGCTGCATGGTTAAGGACAGTAAAACCTTTTCAAAAGTGTGGGGGCAGAATAACATGAGAATATTTCTACAAGTAGGACGCTGATGTTTTCTTTATAAACTATACTTGTCTATGGAAAAAAGGGAGATTTGTAAATATTTATATAGGGGGGGGGGGACATGTCTAACCATGCATCACCTCCCTTCTTTGCTGACGCTACTTTTGACTAATCTCTGTGTGTGTAGCAAAATGTTGACAGTTGTATACAACAAATCATTTCTTTTAGAAATAAGAAAATTTGAAAAATAAGCAAAAGTTAAACACAGGAAGAATGTAATTACACACAGAGGAAGAACGCGACCGAATCTATTTTTTGTTAAATGTTGATTCATGCAACACAGAGCTTTCAAAACTATACTTTTGATCATATGTTAATTTAACAGTGTTAAGGTTTACTTTCATTGCATCCTTTACTGCTATATGTATAGTGTTTTTTATTGATAATAGGTATTTACAATTGCGTGCAGTTGATAATTAAAATGTATTGATAATTTAAAATTTGTTATTTAATAACAAAGGTCTTTTTATAATATGAACTGATTTTTGCAATAATATGCATGTATGGAATGTATGATTAGCGAAGTGAAAAATCGATTTAATGCTTTAAAAAATTGTGTCTTAATCATTCACATTGAAATCCTATTTTAGAAAGGTGATCCTTTATTCTTGAGGTTTAAACTTGTTAAACTTAATATTATTTAAAGTAATCCTTTGGAATTTGACTCATTTCAATGTTATTATGTACTCTGCATGAGGTTCTTATTTATGTATTTTTATTTCATTAACAATTGTTTTTAGTCTGTGGTGTACACGTAGCTATAGAACTTGAATGTTCTAGAGAGATGTCATTAATGTTTTATAAAATTGAAGGAGATCCTGTCTTACTTTTCATCTTTGTTCTTTATATTAAATCTCTCATCTTTTGTTAGGTATGTGACATATAAAGAAGTAAAGCAAGCTTAATTTGGACGACGAGATCGACAGATATGAAGTCTTACTTCTAAAACAAAGGTAATTTTACAAAAATAAAGCGAGATTTATATCTACATTAGCCGACCTAAAAATTAGCTAAAGAATAATCTAGGTAAAGTATGAATAAACATGCATGAGAAATCATATCAAAGTCTATATACAAACTTTTTAACTATTGATCATAAGCTGCATAATAGGTAAAAACTGTGAAACCTGTTCAAAAGTATGGGGAGGAAGAATAGCATGATTGTATTTTCTACATGAAAGACGCTGAATTTTCTTTACGTACCTTTGCATCCATCTTTAGTGGATACAGTTTCTGAAGAGGCCTGCTTATGTGCAGTGGCTTTCCCTTGCTAACAACGTTAACTTCCGCTCCTCTAACTATATTATCTTTTCCCTTGATCAATCTCTCGATTCTTGCTATTTTCCAAAATCCTCTTTTCAAACTTTTCTCAAACACAAGAACTACATCACCTACTTTCGGACACAAACTACCCTTAACTTTTCCATTCTTATGACACTACCTTAAGCTTGTTAAGCATTCCTTCCTTCACCTGGACCAAAAATGCTTTCTCAATTTCGCTAAATACGTCGTTAATAGTATGCTGAGTTCTTTCGTCTGGAATAGATGTTTATCTTCTTCCAAACATAAGATGCGCAGAAGCCAGTACATCTACATTCACTTCATCTTCATATACATAATCAATAGTCAAGAGTTTAACGTACCTTGTACCTCAACTAATATTGTTAACAGTTCTTCCTTGTTCAATTTAGCGTTACCCAACACCTTCCTCAGACAACCTTTCACCAATGCTACCATTCTTTAAAAAAATCCAACCCACCAGGTTGTCCTCGCCAAATTAAAGTTCCATATCAACTGATTGTCTTCCAATCATGATTCTACCTCCTTAATTCCATAAATCCCCTTCAATGCTTTCTCAGTTGCTTTAAATGTTTTGGCTTTGTCCGAAACAATTAGCGAGGCTGCTCCCAATTTAGCAGTAAATCTTCGCATGCAATTCAATAAACAACGTGCACTTAAACTATCAACTAAATCAAGACAAATTGTTTTTGTAACACAGCAGGAAAATAATGCGATGCGTACTTTAATTTGACTAAATTTGGCAAATTTTTTTACACAATCTTTATCAACCACTTGTGTGTTAGCCAATACTGTCTTCCGGCTTCCCCAAGACTTTCTTCTGAAGTTTTAACCTCTTTGGCATTGGCCAATCACACTGGAGACCTGACAACTACTTCGGTTCCTTCCACCAAAGTTTACTTTCCTTGAATTTTAATGCCGTAAACCCCCATGAACCTAAGTCCGCAGGGTTGTCTACACCAGGACAGTGTTTCCAATTATCCTTCCTGCTCAATCTTAAAATCTCCTTAACTCTATGGCGCACAAACTGTTTCCATTCTCCCCTATTACCCATCCAGCTCAATGCAGTCATACTGTCCAACCAACAGTATGTACCAATAAATTGAATGTAACCTTCTATGGCCAACTTCACTGTGTCCACCAACTGTGCTAATATTCTAGCTGACATCACTAATAGTGTGGGAATTGTCGGCAACTTTATTGGCACTATCCTTGTTTTCGACGTAAGCAACTCTACGTGGTAGGCACCGTTTATCTCTGTCACAAAATATACGACCGCACAGTATGCCTTTTGGCTGGCATCTGCGTACCCATGCAAGTAACACTTTACCTTACCAAGTTAATTACCATAGACACATCTCGCCACAACTAAATCCCTGACTCTCTCTAAATCTACTATCCATCTCTCCCAACGTTTTTCTTTTCACCTTCCAGCTCATTATCTCATTCAGCTTTCTCAATACACAGCTCCTGAAACAATAACTTAGCACAAACTACAACTGGACTTATAATAACTAAGGGATCGAATAATCCTGCAAGTATACTTAGTATATTTTGTTTACTTGGGATGATTGCCTTTGCTCTTTCAGCCAATTTCCAGAGGCTAAATACAAAGTGATTGGACTTGTACACTCCCATCCCAATCTTAGTACTTTCTCAAAACTTCCACTGATACTATTTTCCCCAACTGATGCTTTGGCATAAGTTTGCTAATCAACCACTTCGAATTACTAAATTCTGCCCTTCTTTCCTCTAAAATTCTTCTTTCTCTTGTTTCTACTTCTTTCAAAACTTTCTCATCATTACTTAGCCACTTCCTAAGCCTAAATCCTCCAGCAGCCAATCGCTCACTTGCTGACTCATACAACCTCATTACTTTCTTTTTGGATTGTTCACCAGACACTGGATAATTGACATAAAAGCTATCTCTGAATTTTTTAACAAATTCCTTTTCTATCTCTATGAATAAATCTAAATGATACTGCAGAGTTACATTCAACAAAATGGAGAGCAGTTAACCCCAAACACTCTTCTACAAAATCGGTATTCTACAGGTTTCACTCTCTCGATGTTTATGTCATCAACCCATAAAAATCTTAGGCAATCCCCGTCCAAAGTATCAACTTTTTTATATTCAAAAATGCCTTTTCAATATCTGCCACTAAAGCGACTCTCTTCTCTCTAAACTTTATCAAAACATGAAAGAGCAATGGTGCTGATTTGGGTCCCACATGCAAGAAGTCATTGAGCGAGGAAACCTTGGGTGACTCTTTACACGATGCATCATAAACAACTTTTATCTGAGTTGTTTTGCTTCCCTGCGAATAACTGCATGATGCGATAAATAATGTATTTTATTAGCTTGCTCCAGTTCTATCACTGGTTCTATAATACCCTTCCTCAATTGATCTATGATTGTCTTATCATACTCTTCTAAAATTTCTGGTTACCTTTTCAGCCGTACTAACTGACCTTTAATCTTCTTAAGCTTATGCTGTAATTTGTGTAATCTAAACTATGTCCTTCTTTCCAAGGCAATATGGCACTGTATTAGTTACCATTAAACATAATAGAATCCCTTAAAGATTTATGAACTTCATATTCATCTGCTATTCCTAAAGTTTCAAAATCCCACAAACGGTTGAAATTCTTATCTAAACTTAAACTTCCTGAACTTTCATGTGTAATGAAGTTTACTTGAGTGTGCATGTTATCCAAATCAATTCTCGCTTTCATGAGGCTGGACAACACCCAACCTAACTTAGCAGACACAGAAACTGGCTCATCTGCCTGCCCCCAAACAACATTGCCTTCCTGAAACCACCAATGATAATCTGCTCCCATCAAAACTTCAATATCTAAAACTTCCTTATCCTTGCAAACATCTAAAAACCACAGACCCTTTAAATGTGAATAATCCATCTTTCTTAACTTTACATGTTCATTCCTAATTTGAGATATACAGTCTACACTATATGCCTCGATGCTTACACTCTCTCCCTTTGTAACTGACAACTCTCGCAACTTACCTTTAGCCTTCTCTTGAGAAAAAGGCTTGATTTCTATCCATTATTTCCTACTAGCCTGAATACCTGCTCCCTGTATAATCTTTCTATTCACAAATGACTTGTGACTTCTTGAATCAAATAACACTCTGACCCTAACACGTCCCTTATCTCCTATAATAAAAGCCTGTGCTGTCTGTAATGCTATCCTACAATGAGATCCCAGAAAAGAATGGTTGGTTTGAATATGACCTGTAAGAATCCCATTGGCTTCACAATTGACCTATGGTGTGCCTTCGCACATGCATTACATTTATCATTACTATTACAATTCTTACTGACATGTCTTTTCTTCAAACAAATAAAACATCTTCCGTACTTACGAATGAGTTGTTTTCTCTCAGTTACAGTGGTTATTTTCTTACATTCCTCTGGATTGTGTTCCCGAGACAATAAACGCATTTTCTTTTCGCTTTACCGTCTCGTTTCAACTCTCTTGCTTCGCGTGCAGTGCTGATGCTGACGCCATATGTCTTTGTCGCGACTTTTCTCGTTGTTTCTCCCCATCCTATCTTTTGGTTTTCTCACCGATCGATGTGTGAACTTCTCGAAACTCCAACTTTTTAAGAATTGCGTTTAACGCATCTTTCATAGACCATTTCCGTGAAATCGAATCTCTTGTTATTGTCAATGGAAAAGCGTCCGGCAACTTCGCATTGACTTCCGTTATTAGAATTGAAGAATAAACGGCTTCGTCCACTCCTAAGGCCTTTAAACCCCGGTAGCTTGTCTCGCAGGTGTCGTATGACCGCCGAAGCTTGTCGATGTCTCCTTCGTCCGTTACGGGTTTTACGTTCATTAAATCCTGGATATGCGCTTTCTTGATCACGTTCTTTTTCCCGTATCTTCGTTTTAACAATCCTACAGCTTTGTGATAGTTCGCTGAAGTTAGGGGAAATCCCGATATTGTCGATCTTGCAGGTTCGAGTAAAAACTCCTTAAATACGCAAACTTGTCTACGTCAGCCAATCCGTCATTATTATTCACTGCACTATCAAACGAATCCAAAAACTCTTGCCATTCTTGCAGCCCTCCGCTAAATTTCTTTACTTCCACATTTAGGAGTTTTGCTCTTATAACTCTGCGCGTCTCACTCTTCAAACTGTTGTTCAGCGGGCCATTTAATGCCGTTGTTGCCGTTTCAACTGTGACATTAGACTCCTTGACGATGTCGCTCACATCCATAATTGCTTGCTCGAATTCTGCACGTATCTCGTCCGCATCTTCAATTTCTTTTCCCAATTCTTCTTCCTCAGTTTCCTCATTGCTTTTGCTCAGCATATCGATAATCGCGTCATCAAGGATTTTTAATGTTGCGATTTTGTCGTTCAATCCATCTCGTAGCTGTCTCAGCTCGTTTCTATCGATTTTGCCGTCCGTTTCTCGTATTTTCTCTTTTAATTTACTAGCAATTTTCCTCGCCGATCTTCTATGTCCTGCGCGCACTCGTTACTTTCTCATAAATTCATCCACTCTGCTATTGGACTAACAAACTTGAATTTCCAAATAGATCTCCAACTAAAATATCTCCGACTTGAAGAGCCACGTGTAGCAATTTTCTCCTTTGCACGTTAGCACAAAGCAGTTATACGTCTGCCGATTCGTTTTTGGGACTGTATACTATCCTACTGCTTGCGCAGTCGAGACACAATTCTCAATTTTACGCAATATAACATTACGCATCACAGATAATCTTAAACATTTCAAGCTTTTGCATTAACATCCAGCGTCAGAAGAGCCCTGACTTTCAACGTGTCACAACTAATATAGTATTAACATAAGTTCCTATTCCCGTTCTTCCATAAATTCCTAGTATCAAATAACAATTATCAATTAGTTATTTACATAAGTTCCGACACTTAGATTTCAAATACATATTCCATTATGGTGCAGTCAATTTTGAAACAAAGAATTAAACCTATTTGAGGAAACATTTTTCATTGGCTTATAGTCCCTTCAAATTTACAACATACACGAAAAACACATTAAGGTACGCTAGACACATAGTATCTTATGATCATTACTAAATATGATGACAGTCTCATTTTCCCCAAGGTAGTACTGTATTTAAAATCTTAAATATAAATGTTGTCAAAGACATTTTTTAATAAAACGATAATTCAGTTCAAGCAACAACATCCACGCTAAATTAACAACATCCTCTCAGTGACATGCTAGACGGGGGGGCTGGATCCGTGGCTCCCTCAGATGTTGATTTTTAGGAGGCGCTGTAATGAATAAGTGCGTCAAATTTTCAAGTTGTATTGGATAAACGCATTTGGCCTTATACGGTTAGAATGATTTCACTCCTTAAAGTCCACAAAATGGCATTTTAGAGCTTCTTAATAAAGAATTTTCCCTGGGAGCATTTACCCCCGGATTCCTCAAACACGACTCCCACCTTAGGTTCTCGGCTCAGGCTTTGGCCCCCTTTTTAAAGTGTATATATTTGGGGCTCATTTTCAGTAGTAGCTGACTGCCCCCCTCGAGTGTTCCTTGCACGCAACTGATCCCCCCCTATATTAAACAAAATTATTCAAAATACCTTTTAACCAAACAGAACTTTATCGAACCAATTAAAATTTGCTTGCAAAGTGTCTTCATTTGACGGCCGCCATGAATTCTCCGTTTCAAAAAAATGTGTTAAATTTTACTTTTCTTACATAAAATACATCACGAAGAAGTCACTAACTGACTTTTAAGCTTAAGCTTCGTTTAACGGCTCAGATATTTCATTTTCAATGGGAAATGTTGCACATTGCCCCAGATTACGATACGTTAATGTGACTTATATAAATCAAAGGCCACGAGATAAGTTCCTTTCCCATAAATCAGTATTAAACGTTCATCTCCATTAATTACTTTCGTTGGCTTTCTCAACTCTTCATAGTCCGATAAATAGTCATTTTCAAAAGTCATATGCTAAGTGGCACCAGAATCAATTATCCAAATAAATCTATTCTTTTTTATTTGTGATAAATGACACCAAATCAATATTTTCTTGATAATCTTTTATGGCACAATGTGCTGACTTTTTTCCTTCGTAGTGGAAATAACAGATTAAATTGTTCTTTTTTTTGTAGACAATAATGTGCAAAATATCCTCATTACTGACATATTTATTTTATAAGAATGCTGGTATTCAGTTTTGTTTTTGCTGTACTCCTTTTTTTCCTTTTACCCTAAATGATCAATGAGCAGCGTCAGTCTTTTCATCTTTTTTGGTATTTAGTATTAGATCTGCATTATTCTGTAACATTCCTGTAACGTTTTGCATCTTTGCATGTTTTGCTTTCAAAATTTATGTCGAATTCGTAGAGGCAAAAAAGATTTTGTGTTTCGCAAGTTACCTGCCTCCCCGGTATGAATCTACAACGCGAAGTGTCGTACATTTAAAGAACATAGTGTATCACAGTTCGCTACGACAGTCAACTAGATTACCCTTAAAAAAAATGAAAGTTTTCTTAACAAGTCCTGGCCTATTATCCCATTGGTTAACAGAAATCAATTTTACTTCACGTCACGCGACCTGGATTATTATGATGGTTTATTTTCCAACATGTGCTAGTAACAAGGATATGTAAAATAAATTCGTAGCACCTTGTCAATTCAAGACAAAGTTATTTTAATATTGTAAATTATCTCTAGAAACAAGTCCCCTCTTCACTTTTTGCCGAAGGAACTATTTCCCTTCTCACTTTTTAAACCATACCGCTTTTTTCTTTACTAAGTCCACTTTGATCAACATTCACCAGACATATTAGGCATGCTAGTATTTTGAGATGGGCGCTTTTTCTTTGCTGTTTCAATTCCTACAAAACACGTTAAATTAAATAGTCTAATTTTGAATGGCACGCATGTCAGTTAAGGTATGTAAGATAAAGTGTGAATTAACTTGTCAAGTAACAATCAACTGATGTATAGAAATACCGTCAAGTACAGAGGCATCTCTAGCATTTCTAACTTGGATTTTCGCCATTACAAACGACATTTGACATCGACGATCCAAAGACATAAAAATCTAGCACCAGCAATGTCTGTCTTGTAACAAGTCACATGTACTATCCAGTGGAATATCATGTTGTTTTTAATGTTTTGTTGAAAAGCTGCTGTAATTGGCAAAAGCTGTAGCATTATCTCTGCCACTTAGTAGTTGTCTATGTCTAAATTTGTATTAATAGCATGCTTTTGGTGAAGTTGAATTTATAAACGAATAAATAAGTTCGATTTCATCATGTAAATCCTCGACTTTAACGAAGAGTGATATATGATGTAGGTCGAACTTTCAAAATTGATGATTTTAACTGTCTTGTTTATACATCATATTCTTTTTTAGATGGAATCAAGAGAAAGCAGAAATCTTTTTTACATCAGAAGAGTAATTAATGTGGTACAAACGGAACTTGCTCAATTTTTCATCAAAGAATGGAACTCTCGTTACACATCAACACATGGAGAATGGGATGATACCAAAAAAAGTGGCAAAAAATTTTACAAATTAGAATCGGGTAGGAAGTTGGATAAAAACCTACAGTTAAAATATCAGGAGGGAGACACAAGTAAATGGGACTGCACAACATTATTCGATGCCATACTTTATTCAAAATCGATTAGCGGACATCTTGATAAAAAAACAAAGAATGCTGTTGATGCACTTCGTGTTGAAAGAAACAAAGAAGCACATTGGCATGAAAGCGAATACTCAGATGATGATTTTGATGATAGAGTCAATATCATTGAAAAATCATTTCAAGATTTGAAATTTTCCCTCGATGAAATCAATAAAATAAAAAATCATCGTAACAGTTTTAATTCGTTCCAAGTGCTTCCTTCAAAACCCAATCATTTTTGTTGAACGCACTGAATTACAAGATAAAATCATAAACGATCTTGAAAAATTAAGGAATGATAACAATAACGAACTGACATATTTCTACATCACTGGTAATCCTGGCAGTGGTAAATCTCAACTGGCGAGACAGGTTTGTGAAAAATATCGTGTGATTGGAAAAATAAAACTTCGTTTGTAATGACTCTCGATGGGAAGAATGTGGAATCTCTTTTAAAATCTTACTGTGACCTTGGAGTTTAAACTGTAACAAGTATATGGTTGAAAAATTTAAAGATGAAAATTCGTCCGCCAAAGAGAAAGTCAAGAACCTTCGATCGTTAGTATCTGCTCGATTGAAATTCTGGCAAAATTGGTTGATTATTGTCGACAACGTTGTGCAACTGAGCGAAATTTCTTCGTTACTACCACAAGTAGGTGATCACATGTGGAAAAATGGACAACTAATAATAACTGTTCAGAATACAGATGCCGTACCTCACGATGAATTGTTCAGCAAACATATTTCTATCAGTAGTGGAATGAATGACAGAGAATGTTGTCAATTGTTAAATTCTTACACTAAAGATGAAAATGCTGATGATCAATTGTTGAATGAAGTATCGCACGCATTAGATCGTCAACCGCTGGCTTTGGCTGCTACTGGTTATTATGTCAGTCTTGTAAACAAAGAAAACTGCTCATTTACTTGGAGACAATATTTAAAGAAAATATCTTCAGAAGAAGAAGAAAACATGGACGCCATTTTTGTTAAATTTAACTCGGTATATCCTAGAAGTATGTTACAAGCTTCACTTTTAGCTGTCAAACAAAGTGCAGAAGAATCGTCAATATTGGCACTGGCTATTAGCTTTTTTTCTATGATATCATTTGATCCTTTACCACGAGAAATTATGGTTTATTATGTTCAAAAAAATGATCCCAAACAAGCTGAGGAAGATATATGTCTTTGTTTAGACGAATGCTCATTGTTCTTGCATTCAGAAAATAATGACATTAGTCTACATCGCATTGTTCACAAAGCAATTATTGTTTATCAATCTGAACATTCAAATGAAGAACATGAAATGGAAATTAACGTTGATCAAATATCCAAAGCACTTTACATGTTTAAAGAGAGACGACGAAATCAAATTAATGCCACATCTTGAAAAAATTGTTCAATTATTAAAGACCAACAAGACAAAATCAACATGAACACTTTACAAGTTTTCCAATATTTTGTTGACAGATTAAGACACTTTGGAAAATACGATCTTGCTCTTGAACTATTGGAGAAATTTAAATCAGAAGAATGTAGTTATGACAAAGCTTGGTATTTTAATATCCTCGGTCTTTTATACCATGACACCGGGAGGTATAGCAAAGCTAAAAATTATCATGAAAAGCTCTGGAAATTAGAAAACAATCGTTAGGTCCAAATCATGTTGATGTCGCTGCGTCTTTAAACAATCTTGGAATGGTGTTTGATAAAACTGGAAACTACGACAAAGCTATAGAGTTTTACGAAAAGCTCTGGAAATTCAAAACAATCGTTAGGTCCAAATCATGTTGATGTCGCTGCGTCTTTAAACAATCTTGGTATGGTGTTTGATAAAACTGGAAACTACGACAAAGCTATAGAGTTTCACGAAAAGCTCTGGAAATTCAAAACAATCGTTAGGTCCAAATCATGTTGATGTCGCTGCGTCTTTAAACAATCTTGGAATGGTGTTTCATAAACTGGAAACTACGACAAAGCTATAGAGGTTCACGAAAAGGCTCTGAAAATTCAAAAACAATCGTTAGGTCCAAATCATGTTGATGTCGCTGCGTCTTTAAACAATCTTGGAATGGTGTTTGATGAAACTGGAAACTACGACAAAGCTATAGAGTTTTACGAAAAAGCTCTGGAAATTCAAAAACAATCGTTAGGTCCAAATCATGTTGATGTCGCTGCGTCTTTAAACAATCTTAGTTTGGTGTTTGATAAAACTGGAAACTACGTAAAAGCGATAGAGTTTCATGAAAAAGCTCTGGAAATTCGAAAACAATCGTTAGGTCCAAATCATGTTGATGTCGCTGCGTCTTTAAACAATCTTGGAATGGTGTTTAATAAAACTGGAAACTACGACAAAGCTATAGAGTTTTACGAAAAAGCTCTGGAAATTCAAAAACAATCGTTAGGTCCAAATCATGTTGATGTCGCTGCGTCTTTAAACAATCTTGGTAATGTGTATTATAAAACTGGAAACTACGACAAAGCTATAGAGTTTTTAAAAAAAGCTCTGGAAATTCAAAAACAATCGTTAGGTCCAAATCATGTTGATGTCGCTGCGTCTTTAAACAATCTTGGTAATGTGTATTATAAAACTGGAAACTACGACAAAGCTATAGAGTTTCACGAAAAGCTCTGGAAATTCGAAAACAATCGTTAGGTCCAAATCATGTTGATGTCGCTGCGTCTTTAAACAATCTTGGTATGGTGTTTTAAAACTGGAAACTACGACAAAGCTATAGAGTTTCACGAAAAGCTCTGGAAATTCGAAAACAATCGTTAGGTCCAAATCATGTTGATGTCGCTGCGTCTTTAAACAATCTTGGTAATGTGTTTAATGAAACTGGAAACTACGACAAAGCTATAGAGTTTTACGAAAAAGCTCTGGAAATTCGAAAACAATCGTTAGGTCCAAATCATGTTAATGTTGCTGCGTCTTTAAACAATCTTGGTGCGGTGTTACATGAAACTGGAAACTACGACAAAGCTATAGAGTTTTACGAAAAAGCTCTGGAAATTCAAAAACAATCGTTAGGTCCAAATCATGTTGATGTCGCTGCGTCTTTAAACAATCTTGGTACGGTGTTTGATAAAACTGGAAACTACGACAAAGCTATAGAGTTTTACAAAAAAGCGCAGGAAATTCAGAAAAAACGTTAGGAACTAGTCAGGTTGATGTTGCTAAGTCTTTTAAACAATCTAGGTGTAATGTGTAATGAAACTGGGGAATATGATAAAGCTTTAGAGTTACAATTTGGTAGCTACGTGTTTTATACAAAATTGTGCGATCCAAATTATGTTAATGTATATCTTTGTCTATAAATAACAGTAAACATGCAGTAAAGCTTTGGTGACTAAAAATTACTATGTTCTAATCATATTATTTTCGCCGTGTCTTTGATATTATAATCTTTTATTGGTGTTTTGTAAAACTGCAGTATACGAAAAAAGCGATAGAATAAACTCTTTACGCTTCGGAATTTTTCAAATATCTTTAGATCAAATCACAGTGCCTATTTTTGATATATAGACTGAAGGAGCAAGGTCAACTCACCAAGTCAACTCCCCTCCCCTCCTCACAAGGTATTTTTGGTACTGAACAAAACAATTTCAGTATGCACTTTATGAGGTAAAATGAAGCTAAAGATGTAATAGTCCTTGTCTATATATTGTTTCAATGATATCTAGTCAATAAACTTACTCTACAGCCCAGGAATCATCCTAAGTAAAACTTAGAACTGCCCATGCCCTGAATCGGACATTCTCCTTTTGACTTTTCTAAAGTAATTTGTTTTTATGTTATAACCAAGTAGTAATTTTTATTGTATGATTCACAAAAATACTAAAGTATATTGGGATGACTGAATCTTATGACATAAATTTTGTTAAATAAATACTGTCCTGTTAGTTGTTCATATTCTTTGATACATTCAGTAATTTTTTACCCAGCTCCATAAGCCTATGACCATATTCCAGGTTCCTATAATTTCCAAGGGGTACCGTTTTCATACCATACATACCACCCCACCATGCTGCAGGCAATATTCCTGTACTGTCACTATCTCAACCATGAACCATAGAATAAGAACACAATTCAAACCAGGAATCTTTTGCCATCATCAAAGCATTGTAAGCAATCATTGGTGCATCATGACCACTGGATCCACCCCAACCTGCATAACTCACAGATTTATAAGAAGCATAACGTTCAGGTATGTTATATGTCACTATAAACTTTGGTTCACTGGTTCCATTGGTTATTTCTTGTAGTTCAAGATATGACTCCCAACTATTTTTAAAGTAGCCCCAAGATTTCTTGTTTTCTTCTACATCACGACCAACCTTCTCAATGTATTCCCAAACTTTGGGTAAAACATCTAAAAGTCCTGCTCCCCATTTTTTTGGAGGTATCTTCTGTATAGCATAGGCTGTAAATAAAGCTGCAGTAACAGCCCCTAGATAACCTATAATTAAAATTATTATCTTTAAAGATTGCTAATTTCAGGTCACTTACATTATGATGACCCTATTTACATAATAACGGCATTTTGATATGAATCATGGATTCAATGGCTGTAGTAGTGGTGATATAAAAGCAAAAACAGCAATGGCAATTTAAACAGCTTTTAGGAGACAGAAATTTGGAAATGTGGAGAAGCAATGAAAAGGATGGATCAAAGATATGGTGATTAAAAGTGAGCAATGTTAGAAGGATGAAGGCATTTGAAATGTGGCTCTGGAAAATGATGGATTGCATAGACTTATGCAAACCTAAGGTCAACCATCTTTTATTTCATTTATAAATTGATATTGGATAAAAGGATATGAAACATTCATGGTAATGGCTTGTTCAAGTAAGTAATTTAAGGAAGAGTTGAAGGTAAAACATCTAAGAAAAGAAAACGATTGAAAAGCTAAATTACTATAAAGGTGTGTCAAAATGAAAACAAATGCAGATAACAGGAAAACCTAGCAAACGTTATACTAAGCAACACTTCTCGATAGACAGAACACAAGACATTAGTGACTTGATAATTGATACATGATCTGAAATCATTGCTTTATTATGAAAGGTGAATACCTGTGGGGTGATTATGAGTCATCCTTCCACTTTCAACAGCAATTTCAATTAACATTTCAATTTGATCTTCACAAGGAAACATCAAACCTATACACATGGATCTCATAGCTGCACCACATCCGCCACCTCGTTCATTAAATGGTATAATGTAACCTTTTTCCTCAAGAGGTTGTAACATAAAACATGCCTTTGTTATGGTCTGACCAGGAGCTCTTTCCCACATATCCTCAGCACATGTCTTTTTGTACTTTGCAGCCATAATGCACAATAACCTTCCGTTGTTGCCCATTCAGAAACCAACGCTTCTGCTGTAGCAATGTGTAGTACAGTGTCGTCACTAACCCTCCATCCTTTAATGTCAATTTTATCAAGTCCTCCGAGTTTTTCTAGTTCTTCATGAATTTGAGTACAACTGTAACAGAATTCCCACAAACCATTCTTATAACCTAGAGCATCTCCCACTCCACTGAGAACCATAACTGCTTCGTATTTCTCGCATAATTCGACCGTATTTTCATAATCCATTTTCAACGTTTACTTCACTGTAGTTTAATGAATGCTTAACGTGGGTTTTTGAAACCCGGAAAACACCAGGCTTACCTCAACTTATAAAAAACAAAAATCTTTTCTTTGCTTTGTTTCAATGTTACAAACTATTCTGTTTAGATTTAGACGAGAGCGTTGGGAGACTGGGAGGGTTAATTTGAAATCCTTAATCTTTACCCGATTCCATGATCTTCAATCTGATTAACATGTTGCTTGTTGGAAAGATACCTTACGAGTTGAAAAAGCTTTTTAAGCGATAATATTGGAAAATATGGCGTTTGCATTGGTGAATTTTTACAACGAATACACATGGGATATCATTCCATATTCTAACATCATTTTTGAGGATGAAAATATGTCGAAAGACAAAGATGAACTTAAAGGATTCAAATTATTAGTCATGTGGGGCGATGGAAAAACAAAAGGAAACGGCAAGTCGAGGGAATTTTCTGCAGAGATAATAGAGGTTTCAGGTTAGTATTTTTAGTCAGTTGTAGAATTTTTTGTAAAGTTTCTAAAAGCTTGTATAATTCAGCCAAAAAGCTAATTGCTAGTGCATCAAGCTCTTTCTCTTTGTTATCATTTCTTTCATGAAATATCTTAGCTTTGCTATATATCTGTAAATTTCTGTGTGAAAATCTATTTGTTTATTTCTCTGTCTTGTTTGTAGAAATAGTCATAGTTGATATGAAGGTTGCTGTTATCAATTCAACTTACTGCTTTTTTAGGAGGGAAATACTTTCTGATAAAAAGCCTTTGCTCAAATGTTGTTCTTTCTTCTACATAGCAATAGTTCAATTACAATACTGACAATAAGGATGTGTCTATTTCCCAGATTTTAACTTGTTTGCTCTTAAATACATGTAGTAATACATTAGGCCAAACTTTGCATAAGGTTGTTTCCTTATAATTTCAGGCATGCTACTGCTTCCAATTGAAAATTATTATTTTTTAATAGTTGTTAAATAGTCATCCATTATTTTGTATAAACAGATAGTAAAGATTATTTGCTCAAGACAATGAGAAAAAAAGAAACTTTCTCTATAAATACTGGCAAAGGGTGTCACAAAGAATTCACAAAGCAAAGTTTACAATTGAAAGTGATAGTGAATCAGATGAAGTGGTGAGTTTCGAAATATTACATTGACCACATTTTGTTTATATGGTGTTTACTGCATGTTTCTCAATTATTGCTGCCATCATCTATAGTTAGCACTCATGTCACTAATGTGATGATGCATTCATGGAAATTTGTTAAGTACTCCATATGGTATTCATGATTCAAATGTTATTAGCTACTAATTCTATGTTGGTCTGCATTGCTGAACAAGGCTATGAGCCTAAGAATTTAAATGAGAAGTAGTAGCTAATAACAAACTTTTCAAACAACATGTATAAAATTTTGTATTGTTGTTCTTGTTACCAGCAGGAGCACAGTATTCCTAAAAAGCTAAAGGCATCCAGGGCAAAGAAAACAGAGGCTTGCTGCTCAGCCAGTCTTGCTTCACTTATAAAAGAGTGATTAACCAAGGTATGTACTATACACAATGATAACACTAATTATTCTTATCTCTAAATTATGCAATTTTATTATTAATGGGGAATGCTAGGGAATTAAGGTCATTTTTCAGAATAAAATTTGGATGTTGTTTGGTTAAATGCTAAAAAAGTTATTAATACTTTATGATATGTTCCCATTAGTCATAAAATGCTGTTAATTTGAAATTCATTTCTTGTTTGTAAGGGAAAATCTTTTAAAATACAAACATTGTACAGTGTAAGGCTTGTATAGGGCAATCATACAAAAGAATTTTCAATCAGTGTGGCTTATGAAATTAAAAAATTGAGATTTACATTATAATATATTGTACTTGTTGTTAGTAAAGTACACTTTAATAGTTTGTACTAAAAGGAAAATATTGTTAAATATTGCCTAAGTTCTTGTTGATTATTTAGGAGAGTCAGTCAGATGAAGGTAGTGCACTTTGCAATGATAAATGCAAGTATAAAAAAGAAGCCTTGGAACTCAAAGAGAGGGTAAAAATGCTGAAAATCAGATGAAAAGACTTAATGAGCAAATTGACAATGGCAATGGTAAGCTCGAGGAAAATTTACTTCATTTGTATTTTCAAATCAATGCTTTCTGCTTTTCAGTTTTGTCTTCCAAAATGGAGAAATTTGTAAATTGCTTGTTCTATTCAGTATATTTTGGATTTGAAATTTAGTATTTGGGTGAAAAGCAACAACTCAATATTACGTAGTGTCATCAACCTTTAGAAGGTTATGATATATCGTTTTAAATTTATAGATTTAGAACTTAATGTTTGTAAATGTAAATCGTCCAGGTTGGTATAGTCCTGAGAAGGACTGTTTTTGTTGTTGTTTTGACTGACGACGTTTCGACAACCTTAGCGGTAGTCATCTTCAGAGTCAAATGAGGAGTAAACGTCAGGTTAGCCGTATTTGTTATCTGGGTTATACGTCATTGTTCTGTGTGTACAGGAAATGTGAAATAGCGTATCAGAGAGACTTGTCAGAGACAACCAAAGACGAGATCAGAAGCAGGATAGCCTCCACTTTAAAATCGTCCTCTATACGTGACAACAACTTGACAAAGGACGAACAACAAGCACTCAAACGACTAAAACACGACAACAACATCGTCATTTTACCAGCAGACAAAGGACGCGTGACTGTGGTCATGAACAGGAATGATTACTTCAACAAAACGAGACCCAACACCATCACTAGTACGCAAACTAAACAGCAAGATCTTCTCGATGAGAAAATCTAACATTATATCTGAACGTATTTACTATCGACTTAGATGTTCAGTACCACGACCACCCAGACTATACGGACTACCAAAACTTCACAAACCACAAATACCCATGCGACCAATTGTATCATTCTGTGGTTCGCCCACTTACGAACTCTCAAAGTACTTGACTGACATACTGCAACCACTTACAAACAAATCCAAACACAAGCTGCAATCCACTGAAACTTTCATTAAAAAACTGAGCACTGTACAAATACCGGACAACTATATACTAGTGTCTTTTGATGTGAAATCACTGTTCACCAGTATTCCACTTAATCTGGCACTTACTTGTACAAAATTCCTCATTACAAACACCACGGACGTACTGCCATTACCGACAGAAGACATTATGGAGCTACTGGAGCTCTGCCTCACCTCCACTTACTTCCAGTACAAAGGTACACACTACAAACAATTACATGGAACAGCAATGGGCTCACCCGTTTCTGTTGTAGTTGCTGAAATTGTAATGCAATCTATAGAGGAACGGGCGCTCACGACTTACAAACATGCACTACCTTTTTGGTTTCGCTACGTAGATGACACAATCACAGCACTGCATGCAGACGAGATTGATGACTTTCTCACTCACATCAACAAACACAACAGCCAAATACAATTTACCAAAGATGTTGAAGAAAACGGAACTCTTCCTTTTCTCGACTGTTTGGTAAAACATGACAATCAAAACTACGAACAACAGTTTATCGCAAGCCAACACATAGGATTATGTGCTTTGTTATAATAGTTTCTTTGTAGAAACTATTATAACAAAATCCCTTTTCCATGAAGCCCACGGATGCTTTCGTTCATGATGAAAGAGTCATATTGTATAAGGAGGCTCGCGTTCATCACGAGAGAGCTATGAGAAAGTTACATTGTAAAAGGTAAAAAGTAAAAACGTATAAACATGCTTAGAGTTTGTTTATATTATAATTCAAAAAGGCAGAAATTGTTTGAACATTTAAAGTATCCTTGGACGTTCTAGTTTCTTTAATGAGAAGAATTCTTGTAAAGAAAAAGACAAATTTTGAAAACAAAAAAATCCCGTTTTCGGTCCGTGCCTCCCGATACCCGTGATAGTTGAGCACTAGAGCGTCGCATGTTAACTAAGAGAACCACATAATCCTTGTTTGTTTGCCATGAAGCATATGGATGGTTTGCTCGTGATACATGAGAAACAGTAAATGGGAGAGTTAAATCAGAAAGATATAAAGCGATAAAAATGGTATAAAACATTTTTAAGGTTGTCTTTAATTATAATTGTCACATAAAGACAGGGTCATATGAAGTTAATTGAAACATTGCTTGTTTTTTTTATAAGAGGAAAACAAAAAGACAAAATTCGAAAGCAAAAAAACCCGTTTTCGGTCCATGCTTCTCGATACCTCCTTAAGCTGAAGTCATTAGAACGCCGCATGTTAACGTTTCGGTAGGAGATTTCGGCCCCTCCACGCTATCCTACTTGGGAGATGCCAATAGCAAGCTTCCGCCCATCAGACCCTGAGATCACCTGCGATAGGCTTTGCTCAAGATACGCAGGGAGAGTGCGGTCGCCACCGATGTGTGGGTCCCTAAGCCACTGCATACTATATCGCTCCCAGCTTCCACTGCTAGTTGATATCTACATATAAAGTTTTAGCTTTATATATGTATAGCAAAATTTTAAGGCGTACGAAAGTTGTGGGATGATTGTTATCGTTACTGCGCATGCGCAGATGATTTCTTCGATAATTTGCGACTAAGTGAGTTAATTGACACAAATGTAGTGCAAATACGTATAGTTGGTCGTTGTCATGACTATGAACAACTAGTTTAGTGGACTGCGCATGCTCGAGCGCATGCGCAAATGATTTCTCTATTAAATTGTTACTAAGAATGCTATTTAATTCAAAATTGGTGCTAGTAGATGCAGTTTGTCGTGGCCACGACCATGAACTTGTGTATCTCGTCAAGTTTATTGCGCATACTCAAGCAGACTGCGCATGCGCAGATGATTTTCGTTAAAACTTATGACTGAGCGAGCTGATTACTCCAAAATCGGTACTAGTTCATCCAGTTGGTCGTTACCATGAGCTTGGAGAGTTAGTGGTGTTGACAACACATTCTCAGATTCTCAATTAATTTGTGACAGAGCAAGCTCTGAAATTGGTGCTTGTAAATGCGCTGAGCAAGTTTTCAATCATATATTTTTGGAATGCTCTTTGTCTTCTTAATCTAGTTTTGACAAATGCATATGAAACTCATCAACACTTCGTTACGGCACTCGTAATATCCGTGACAACGTTAAAAATGTTTTTCATTTTTCTCTATAAATTTGTACCTGCGTATTGCATATCATATCCAAGCTTTCCTTTGATTTGACGGACAATGGTTTTTATTCACTCTTACACCTTCTGCCTTTAAAATTAGTCGATCTGTATTTCTAAAATAATTTTTATGAATGCCAGAAGAGAATCTTTTTATTTTATTGGTTCTCTTCTACAAATACATTACTATGTCCGACCACTTGATTGCACGAATTTTGTAATTTGATGACGTTTCTTTGACACGTGGGTTAACCATCGGAAAGATGGATTGCTTAAATGTACCCAGTTGTTTAGACTAGTGGGATACATAGTTATCCTGTAATGTATACTCTTGTGAAACACCAATGACCATACGTAGTGTGTCTTCTATAACCTCTATTCTTGTTCTCCACTTCATCATCTATCCATATTTGTTGCTTTTTAGGTCTCAACTCAACACAACCCTTGTTTGAAGTTCCTAAAACCTTGATCTACCCAAGAAAGATCTCTGGTGGTTACATGTTAGGTATGGCTAGTGGTTGGTTATCGTCATTTGAGCCTTGTGACACTAGTTCAGTTGACGTTAATCGTCGTGAAGACGTTGAGGAGGTTGCTAGTAAACGTCGCCTAAACACATTGTTCAAAAAGCAATTATTGTTTATCAATCTGAACATTCAAATGAAGAACATCAATTGGAGCATGAATGCAATTTGCCTTCTATTCAACCATACGTTAAGAAAAAAGGTCAAGCACTTTACATGCTTAAAGAGAGAGACGACGAAAGCAAATTGATGCCACATCTTGAAAAAATTCCTCAATTATTAAAGACCAACAAGACAAAAATCAACATGAATACTTTACAAGTTTTCCAATATTTTTTCGAAAGATTAAGACATTTTGGAAAATACGATCTTGCTTTTGAACTGTTGGATAAATTTAAATCCGAAGAATCTAGTTATGACAAATCTTGGTATTTTAATATTCTCGGTCTTTTATACTATGACACCGGGAAATATAGCAAAGCTAAAAATCATCATGAAAAAGCTCTGAAAATTCAAAAACAATCTTTAGATCCAAATCATGTTGTTATTGCTGGGTCTTTAAAAAATCTTGGTTTGGTGTTTTATGGAACTGGAAAATACAACAAAGCTCTAGAGGTTCACGAAAAAGCTCTGGAAATTCAAAAAAAGTCGTTAGGTCCAAATCACGTTGATGTCGCTGCGTCTTTAAACAGTCTTGGTATGGTGTTTGATAAAACTGGAAACTACGAAAAAGCCATAGAAGTTCACGAAAAAGCTCTGGAATTTCGAAAACAATCGTTAGGTCCAAATCATGTTGATGTCGCTAAGTGTTTATACAATCTTGCTGAGGTGTATACTCAAACTGAAAACTACGACAAAGCTGTAGAGTTTCATGAAAAAGCTCTTGAAATTAAAAAACTAGCGTTAGGTCCAAATCATGTTGATCTCACCTCGACTTTAAACAATCTTGGTTTGCTTTTTTCTGAAAATAGAAACTATGACAAAGCTATAGAGTTTTACGAAAAAGCTCTGGAAATAAAAAAACAATCGTTAGGTCCAAATCATGTTGATGTCGCTGAGTGTTTTGACAATCTTGCTGCGGTGTATTCTGAAACTGAAAACTACTTCAAAGCTATAGATTTTTACGAAAAAGCTCTGGAAATTCGAAAACAATCGTTAGGTCCAAATCATATTGATGTCGCTGCGTCTTTAAACAACTTTGGTTTGGTGTTATATGAAACTGGAAACTACGACAAAGCTATAGAGTTTTACGAAAAAGCTCTGGAAATTCAAAAACAATTGTTAGGTTCAAATCATGTTGGTGTCGCTGCGTCTTTACACAATCTTGCTTTGGTGTTTGATAAAACTGGAAACTACGACAACGCAATAGAATTTTACAAAAAAGCTAAGGAAATTCGCAAAAAAACGTTAGGAACTAGTCAGGTTGATGTCGCTAAATCTTTTAAAAAATCTAGGTGTGATGTATTATGAATATAACAAAGCTTTAGAGTTATACTTTAGTAGCTACGTGTTTCAAAGAAAATTGTGCCTTCCAAATTATGTTGAGCCTATTTTTAAGTCAACTCCCCTCTCCCTGAGAAGGAATTTTTGGTACTGAACAAAACGTTTGTAGTTTACATTTTGTGAGGTAAAATGAACCTAAAGATGTAATGGTCCTTTTCTATATATAGTTTCACTGATATCTAGTCAAAAAACTTGCTCTACATCCAGGAATCATCCTAACTAGAACTTATAACTGCCCTGAATCTGACATTTCCTTTAGACTTTATTTCTAAAGAAAATTGATTTTATGTTATAACCAAGTAGTAATTTTTGTTGTATGATTCACAAAAATATTAAAGTATATTGGGATGACAGAATTTTATGACATAAATTTTGTTGAATAAATACTGTCCTGTTAGTTTTTCATATTCTTTGATACATTCAGTAGTTTTTTACCAAGCTCCATAAGCCTATGACCATATTCTAAGTTCTTATAATTTCCAGGGGGTACACCTATCATACCAAACATACCACCCCACCATGCTGCAGCCAATATTCCTGTACTGTCACTATCTCCACCATGAAACATAGAACAAGAACACAATTGAAACCAGGAATCTTTAGCCATCATCAAAGCATCGTAAGCAATCATTGGTGCATCATGACCACTGGACCCACCCCAACCTGCATAACTCACAGATTTATAAAAAAGCATCACGTTCAGGTATGTTATACATCACTGGAAACTTTGGTTCACTGGTTCCATTTGTTAATCCCCGTAGTTCAAGATATGACTCCCAACTGTTTTTAAAGTAGCCCCAAGATTTCTTGTTTTCTTCTACATCACGACCAACCTTCTCAATGTATTCCCAAACTTTGGGTAAAACACCTAAAAGTCCTGCACCCCAACTTTTTGGAGGTATCTTCTGTATAGCATACGCTGTAAATAAAGCTGCAGTAACAGCCCCAAGATAACCTAAAGATAAAATCACTATCTTTAAAGATTGCTAATTTCAGGTCACTTTCATTATGATGACCCTAATTACATAATAGCGGCATTTTGACATGGATCATGGATTCAATGGCTGTAGTAGTGAAGATATAAAAGAAAAACAGAAATGGCAATTCATATAGCTTTTAGAGGACAGAAATTTGGAAATGTGGAAAAGCGATAAAAAGGATGGATCAAAGATATGGTGATTAAAAGTGAGCAATGTTAGAAGGATGGAGGCATTTGAGACGTGGTTCTGGAAAATGATGGATTGCATAGACTTATGCAAACCTAAGGTCAACATCTTTTATTTCATTGATAAATTGATATTAGACAAAAGGATATGAAACATTCATGGTAATGGCTTATTCAAGTAAGTAATCGAAGAAAGAGTTGAAGGTAAAACATCTAAGAAAAGCAAAAGGATTGAAAAGCTAAATTACTATAAGGTGTGTTAAAATGAAAAGAAATGCAGATAACAGGAAAACCTGGCAAACTGTATACAAAGCAACACTTGTTGATAGACAGAACACAAGACATTAGTGACTTGATAATTGATACATGATCTGAAATGATTGCTTTATTATGAAAGGTGAATACCTGTGGGGTGATTATGAGTCATCCTTCCACTTTCAACAGCAATTTCAATTAACATTTCAATTTGATCTTCACAAGGAAACATCAAACCTATACACATGGATCTCATAGCTGCACCACATCCTCCACCTCGTTCATTAAATGGTATAATGTAACCTTTTTCCTCAAGAGGTCGTAACATAAAACATGCCTTTGTTGTGGTCTGACCAGGAGCTCTTTCCCACATATCCTCAGCACATGTCTTCTTGTACTTTGTAGCCATAATGCTCAATAACTCTTCCGTTGTTGCCCATTCAGAAACCAACGCTTCTGCTGTAGCAATGTGTAGTACAGTGTCGTCACTAACCCTCCATCCTTTAATGTCAATTTTATCAAGTCCTCCGAGTTTTTCTAGTTCTTCATGAATTTGAGTACAACTGTAACAGAATTCCCACAAACCATTCTTATAACCTAGAGCATCCCCAACTCCACTGAGAACCATAACTGCTTCGTATTTCTCGCATAATTCGACCGTATTTTTATAAGCCATTTTTAATGCTTACTTCACTGTAGTTTAATGAATGCTTAACTTGGGTTTTTGAAACCCAGAAAACACCAGGCTTACCTCAACTTATAAAAACAAAAATCTTTTCTTTGCTTTGTTTCAATATTGTTTCAAACTATTCTGTTTAGATTTAGACGAGAGCGTTGGGAGACTGGGACTGTTATTTTGTAATCCTTAATCTTTACCCGATTCCATGATCTTCAATCTGATTAACATGTTGCTTGTTGCAAAGATACGTTAAGAGTTGAAAAAACTTTTTCAGCGATAATATTCGAAAATATGGCGTTTGCATTGGTGAATTTTTACAACGAAAATACATGGATATCATTCCATATTCTAACATCATTTTTTAGGATGAAAATATGTCGAAAGACAAAGATGAACTTAAAGGATTCAAAACGTTAGTCATGTGGGGCGATGGAAAAACAAAGGGAAACGGCAAGTCGAAGAAATTTCCTGCAGAGATAATAGAGGTTTCAGGTTAGTACTTTTAGTGTGTTGTAGAATTTTTTGTCAAGTTTCTAAAAGCTTGTATAATTCAGCCAAAAAGCTAATTGCTAGTGCATCTAGCTCTTTCTCTTTGTTATCATTTCTTCATGAAACATCTTTGCTTTGCTATATATCTGTAAATTTCTGTGTGAAAATCTATTTGTTTATTTCTCTGTCTTGTTTGTAGAAATAGTCATAGTTTATATGAAGGTTGCTGTTATCAATTCAACTTACTGCTTTTTTAGGAGGGAAATACTTTCTGATAAAAAGCCTTTACTCAAATGTTGTTCTTTCTTCTACATAGCAATAGTTCAGTTACAATACTGACAATAAGGATGTCTCTATTTCCCAGATTTTAACTTGTTTCCTCTTAAATACATGTAGTAATACATTAGGCCAAACTTTGCATAAGGTTGTTTCCTTATAATTTCAGGCATGCTACTGCTTCTAATTGAAAAATATTATTTTTTAATAGTTGTTAAATAGTCATCCATTATTTTGTTTAAGCAGATAGTAAAGATTATTTGCTCAAGACAATGAGAAAAGAAGAAACTTTCTCTATAAATACTGGCAAAGGGTGTCACAAAAGAATTCACAAAGCAAAGTTTACAATTGAAAGTGAGAGTGAATCAGATGATGTGGTGAGTTGCCCGAAATATTACATTGACCGCATTTTGTTTAAATGGTGTTTACTGCATGTTTCTCAATTATTGATGCCATCATCTGTAGTTAGCACTCATGTCACTAATGTGATGATGCATTCATGGAAATTTGTTAAGTACTCCATATGGTATTCATGATTCAAATGTTATTAGCTACTAATTCTATGTTCGAAGGTCTACATTGCTGAACAAGGCTATGAGCCTAAGAATTTAAATGAGAAGTAGTAGCTAATAACAAACTTTTCAAACAACATGTATAAAATTTTGTATTGTTGTTCTTGTTACCAGCAGGAGCACAGTATTCCTAAAAAGCTAAAGGCATCCAGGTGAAAGAAAACAGAGGCTTGCTGCTCAGCAAGCCTTGCTTCACTTATAAAAGAGTAATTAACCAAGGTATGTACTATACACAATGATAATAATTATTCTTATCTTTAAATTATGCAATTTTATTTTTAATGAGGAATGCTAGGGAATTAAGGTCATTTTTCAGAATAAAACTTGGATGTTGTTTGGTTAAATGCTAAAAAAGTTCATACTGTATGACATGTTCCCGTTAATCATAAAATGCTGTTAATTTGAAATTTATTTCTTGTTTCTAAGTGAAAAATCTTTTAAAATGCAAACATTGTACAGTGTAAGACTTGTATAGGGAAATCATACAAAAGAATTTTCAATCAGTGGGGCTTATGAAATTAAAAAATTGAGATTTATCATTATAATATAATGTACTTGTTGTTAGTAAAGTACACCTTAATAGTTGGTACTAAAAGGAAAATATTGTTAAATATTGCCTAAGTTCTTGTTGATTATTTAGGAGAGTCAGTCAGATGAAGGTAGTGCACTTTGCAATGATAAATGCAAGTATAAAAAAGAAGCCTTAGAACTCAAAGAGAGGGTAGAAATGCTGGAAAATCAGATCAAAAGACTAAATGAGCAAATTGACAATGGCAATGGTGAGCTTGAGGAAAATTTACTTCATTTGTATTTTCAAATCAATGCTTTCTCTGCTTTTCAGTTTTGTCTTCCAAAATGGAGAAATTTGTAAATTGCTTGTTCTATTCAGTATATTTTGGATTTGAAATTTAGTATTTGGGTGAAAAACAACAACTCAATATTACGTAGTGTCATCAACCTTTAGAAGCTTATGATATATCGTTTTAAATTTATAGATTTAGAACTTCATGTTTGTAAATGTAGATGGTCCAGGTTGGTATAGTCCGGAGAAGGACTGTTTTTGTTGTTGTTGACTGACGTTTCGACAACCTTAGCGGTTGTCATCTTCAGAGTCAAATGACGAGTAAACGTTAGGTTAGCCGTATTTGTTATCTGGTTCTTACGTCATTGTATTGTGTGTACAGGAAATGTGAAATAGCGTATCAAAGAGACTTGTCAGAGACAACCAAAGACGAGATCAGAAGCAGGATAGCCTCTACTTTACAATCGTCCTCTGTACGTGACAACAACTTGACAAAGAACGAACAACAAACACTCAAACGACTAAAACACGACAACAACATCGTCATTTTACCAGCAGACAAAGGACGTGTGACTGTGGTCATGGACAGGAATGATTACTTTAACAAAATGGGCACCCTTGTTAACGACAGACAAACGTACGAACAACTCAAATGAGACCCAACACCATCACTAGTACGCAAACTTAACAGCAAGATCTTCTCTATGAGAAAATCTAACATTATATCTGAACGTATTTACTATCGACTCAGATGTTCAGTACCACGACCACCCAGACTATACGGACTACCAAAACTTCACAAACCACAAATACCCATGCGACCAATTGTATCATTCTGTGGTTCGCCTACTTACGAACTCTCGAAGTACTTGACTGACATACTTCAACCACTTACAAACAAATCAAAACACAAGCTGCAATCCACTGAGACTTTCATTAAAAAACTGAGCACTATACAAATACCGGACAACTATATACTAGTGTCTTTTGATGTGAAATCACTGTTCACCAGTATTCCACTTAATCTGGCACTTACTTGTACAAAAATCTTCATTACAAACACCACGGACGTACTGCCATTAATGACAGAAGACATTATGGAGCTACTGGAGCTCTGCCTCACCTCGACTTACTTCCAGTACAAAGGTACACACTACAAAAAATTACATGGAACAGCAATGGGCTCACCCGTTTCTGTTGTAGTTGCTAAAATTGTAATGCAATCTATAGAGGAACGGGCGCTAACGACTTACAAACATGCACTATTACAAAATTTATTCCAGTACAAAGGTACACACTACAAACAATTACATGGAACAGCAATGGGCTCGCCCGTTTCTGTTGTAGTTGCTGAAATTGTAATGCAATCTATAGAGGAACGGGCGCTCACGACTTATAAACATGCACTACCTTTTTGGTTTCGCTACGTAGATGACACAATCACAGCACTAAATGCAGACTAGATTGATGACTTTTTCACACACATCAACAAACACAACAGCTACATACAATTTACCAAAGATGTCAGTAGTATAGTACATGGGGGTAGGGAATCAAAAAAAGTTTACTTTTTTTTATTCCATACGCCCCATGTACTATACTACATATAACCTTGGGTAAAAACTATCTTTATAACAGCGTAAAATAAGACCATGGTTTAAAAGGCGTCCCTCAGTAAAAGGTCATGTAAAAAAGCTGTGTAAAAAATAGTCATTGTTTCAAAGGGTAAAAATCTCGAGGTTACAATCTATCGTTTAAAACTATGGAATCTATATGTTTTTAAAAACTATCTTTAGAAATAAATGTTAAGAAAGCATTGTTTCGGAGGCGATCCGGCAGCACAGAGCACGAAGTGCTCGAGCAGGGGGATGGGATCGCCGAGAATTCTAAGCGACGGTGGGTAAAATTTTCACGAAGTGAAAATTCGGAGCGCCCCCTTACATTCGAAGAATATTCGAAGAATATTCGAGAATAACAGAGGCTTAAAAAATGCTCTTCAAAAATCAAGTGTTAACAAGACCCTGCCAGGACTATGTTAATTTAGCGAAGCTAAATCGCCACAGTGGGTAAAATATAGCTGGTTTTGTAGCGGCGCGCGTGTCTTAGTGCATGTTTTTAACAATGGTTGTTTAATGTAGATAGCACATTTCATCAGCGCATGTATAATAATACAATGTTTTACAAAACTATGGAATCTATATGTTTTTTTAATTTGTCTGTCAAGCGTGTGTCACATGTACATGTTTAACAATGTTTTATATAATTTTTGTTAAAAGTGTTTTTACTAATTGTTTCAGGATTTTGAATCTTTTTGTATATCGCTTTTGTATTAATTACTTATTACAAACAGTTATGTGATATGTAGTCAAACAGGATTATTCTTCATCTTAAGTTTTAGCTTGATAGTTATTTTTAATAAATTTTTTTAATTTTTCGATTTCATCATTTACAAATTTTTTAGTTGATAGAATATTATCTTCTATAGTAGCCCTAAAATTTTGTGAAAAACCATTAAATGACATAGATAATGTAGATTGATGTTGTGAATAAACTTGAATTTTGGCTAATCCATTAAATGCTGCCAGCCATTTTCTTTTCCATTCGTCATAACCTAGTGAAACTGAAGATTTTTTGGTTCAATAATAATAAAATATTTTTGAATCATCATCAACACAGTATACGTGATATAAATCTAGTAATGCATTAACTATCTTTTTTTCATTATCATTTGTTACTTTAATGATAAATTTTTTTTTAATCTTATCTGCCATCATATCTAATTTAATTGTTTTAGAGTTATCAGATGGATTTATTAATAAAAGTGTAAATTCAATAAATTTAACATTATTAAAATAAATTCTGATAATATCTTGTCGGTATTAAAATTTTTATAATTTAATTGATTGCTATGGTGTACTACTTTACCATTTACTCTGCTATCAATCTCATTCTTTGTATAATAGTTAGTTAAATTAGAAGTCAAAGCATACTTACCATCAGCTTGTGTTTTAGTATAATAGTTATTTAAATTAGAAGTCAAAGCATACTTACCATCAGCTTGTGTTTTAGTATAATAGTTAGTTAAATTAGAACTTAAAACATACTTATCAGCTTGTGTTTTAGTATAGTAGTCATTAAATTTATTATCAGCTTGTGTTTTAGTATAGTAGTCATTAAATTTATTATCAGCTTGTGTTTTAGTATAGTAGTCATTAAATTTACCATCTGTTTCAGTCTTTGTATAATATTTAGATAAATTAGAACTTAAAACATACTTACCATTTGTTTCATTCTTTGTATAATAGTTGGCTAATCTTGAGACAAAAACATATTTATTATCAGCTTGTGTTTTAGTATAGTAGTCATTAAATTTATTATTAACTTGAGTTTTAGTGTAGTAGTTATCTACAGGTCCTTGTATATTTATTAATATCTGTTTTATCATGCCCATAAAATAAGCTCATTTATATTATTCCTCAGATTTTATATCCGGTTTATTATTTTTATGTTCGTAAACATGTTTAACTATTGTTATACACCAGATAAAACTCCTAAAAAGGTAATAGGGTGATATTTTTCTACTAAACTGTACACATCTCGTTTTAAAAGGTCGTCTGATTTAAGCTGTTTTGTTAATTCTTTGGGATCTTCAATAGCATCAAACCCTTTTAATATATCTGAAAATTTTGATATAACTAAATCAGTTAAAACTCATTAGCTTTTTGTAATCGTTTTTCTCGTATTCAATGTATAATTTATCAATAATTTTTTGACTAGCTTTTTTAATGTAAGCAACTGACTTGTCTAAATCACCATCTTCAGCTAGTTTAAGTAGTTGATCTCTTTTATTAAAACCCTCTTGCGGTTTATCTTGTATATTATCATCACATACAGCATCTTTGATAGTATCATTTGCGGAATCAATCTCATTAATTATATCATCAATTGTTTCAGGCTCTTTACGCTTTGGCATATATATTAACACATGTTTTATTGCGGAATAACAATTTTCCATTGGTATGGATATATTAGTTGAATAAATAGATGAGCAAATTTATTATTTTTCAATTTTTTGGTTATTTCTTCTATATCATCTTTATTAACACCATAAAGATAATCATCAAATATTGTTTTCATATCATTTCGGTTTGTATTAAAAAATGTAACTAGATAACTTATATTTTCACGATATGGTTTGGCAATACTTGTCAATTGCTGTGTCACCACAATAGTAGAAAGCCCATAATGGCGAGCACTGAATGCTAAACGAACTAATTCAGATGTCCTATTTTTAACATCAAGCAACAAGCACATCATCAATATAATAAGACTATTTGTACCTTTATATACATCACTAACATATTTTAAAACAATATCTACCTGATCTTGGTCACATTCTACCTTAATTAAATCAGAATCATTTATATATTTCCATTCTTGATAGGTTTTATTATATGATAGCGTTGGGCATAATAAAATAATATAATCAAAATGTCTATTAAAGTTTTCTTCTAACATTCTTAAAAGAAAGAAGGTTTTACCACAATTGTCATACCTAAATAATCATATTAAAGGGTGTGTTCATTTATATATTACTGGTTATTCTAGTATTGAATACTTTGTAAATCATTATTAACAAATTGAACAAGAGCATCACTAATAACATAGATGTAACAGTTTAAATCTTTTGTATATGCTCTTTTTTTAATTTCAAGCAAAACGCCATTTTGAGTATTAATGATTTTTTTACCGTTACCAGCAATATTTTTTTCTTGAAAGGTGCGTAGATCGATAACTAATGCAAATTTATCCTTATAAAATTTTTCAATTGTCATGAAGCAATCTATCGGAATAGTTCTATCAAAAAATTTTCTTGCTTCTTCATAAAATTGTTTTTTATTCATACCTTGGGCGAAAATACAATTTGGCACACCCTCTATTGTCACGAAATTTTATCGATTAATGGAAATAGAAATT